CGTGGGCAGACGCATAAAGAAATCATAACGTGTTTCGCATTCTTTGTTTATGTACAATATTATGTTTTGGCGTCGACCACACATTCGAAGTTTAATCTTTATAAAGATATATAATCGTATGAAAAAAAAAAAAAATTTTTTTAAATATTTTAAAATAAATCTCCATAATGCATTCAATTGTTTAGATGACATAGATTAACAGACGGAGAGTGTATAGGTACACAATCATACTTGAAAATTAATATATTTATGTATACGTATTTTTTATTATTATTTTTTTTTATACATATATTTTTTAAAAAAAAAAACCTCTTCAAATAATATATTAATATTACATATTTTTTTTTTATGATGATGGGTGTAGTTAATTTTTAAAAGAAAAAATTGAAAAATTTGAATAAAAAAAAAATCTTCATAATTTGTTTCAATATTATGTGTACCTAACTAAAACGTTTTTTTCAGTGGTCCATTTGAATCTCAAAAATAGGAAGGGTGAGAAGGTTGATGACTCGTAACTTACAGATTTAAAATAGAGAAAATACTACCGTAATTTAACAAGTAAAACTAATTCTATATACCATTTTATAATTTATACGTTAGTTTAAATTCGCTCTTCCGTAAAATAACGAAAAATTTGAATTAGAAAATTTGAGCGTTACGCCATATAATAGCAGCATTGCTGATCACATTGTTCACTCTTATTATTTGTCAAACCAGAAACAGTGTAATAATCGTAATGTATCGGAATTTACTTGAAGCCCGTAAAAATGTGTGTAATGTGAAAATGAAATTGATAAACAATTTTTTTTTTTTTTAAACAAGAGAACGAAAATTTACTGTTGTTTTAATAGTAAGATCGTTTGTGTTCTTAAAATCATAAATTTTAATTCCATTTTCGGTTGCGTTTGTGTGATTTTGTTGATATAGTCGATTAATTCTGCAGTAACCGCGATTTGAGCCCTTGGATAGAACACACCGAAAAACCTAATTAATAAATAAAAACAAGCGTTTTTGGAGGGTGGACCATTGGTTGCTCTAAAGGCACCGTTTGTTTATACTAACAAATAATTAAAATGCGTTTTTAAAACTTCGGCGTTTCAAACGTGAGATCGAACCCAGTGAAAGATAATAGCAATGTATTCAGAAGTGGTTATTTGGTTGTTTAAAAATTATATTTATTTCATATTTAACGCGGATTAGTATTTCGTAAGCAAAAGTTAAAATATGAACAGAGGCCATACTATCGCGTGACCGGATTAAATAAAAATGTTGACATTTAATATACCACGCCACGAGCACACGGATTTGTATGTTACCGTATATTTTTCTTATCATTTAATATTTCCAGATTTCCGTTAATAATCTTTACGGACCAAACTATAATAATATTTTTATAGATGTCATTGACGATAAGTTTTGATTTGCATATTTATCGCGTATTTTAATGAAAATCGTGAACCACCGCGATAAAATATATCAATTATCGCCTGAGCGAACAATAATGCACGAGCCTTATAGGCGGAAATTTGGGGGGAGGGGGAGCATAGCCCTCTCAAAACGTATAAACAGGGAAATTAGTGTTCACTGGTCACTACTATAAATAACAAATGTATAAGTAATACAGTTGAAAATATGTGTATATTATATAGTCATTTTAAATAAAAATATGATTGAGTGCAAATAAAAAAAGTATAATTTTTTTTAAAAAAAAAAAAATGTTTAATTTATAATATATTTTAATGTACACAAATGGTCGCTAATGTAAAGAAATATTTGATATATTTGTTTTTCTCTATAATCCAAAAAACATTATCAAATAAAATGTTTAAGTTTAAATCCCGTTATTAAAATTAAATTAATTGATGTTGCTGAAGTTATTATGATGATTAATCAAGTTTTTATCAACACATCTTTTTTAAATCTTTAAATTAATAGTTCAAAAATGATAATACAATACATACGATACACTACATATAACATACTCGTATACAGAATGCTTTTTTTTTTATCGTGGACCAGCAATATTATCTCTGAGGATTTTAAGTGAATTCAATTTCTGTTTTTTTTTTTTTTAATTATTGTGGAATCGGTTAAGCTTTATTTTAAAATCATTTTTTTATTTTTTTTTTTTACCTCTATTCCATGTAGCTAAAATAAATATATACCGCCCCTTTATATACCTTTGTTTTTCAAATAGAAACCCCCGTTTTTGAACACATTAATTTTCATATCAATAAATAAATATTTAGACATTTTGATATGCATAATATTAATATCAGATTTACCCGAGGAATTATCGTTTCAGAATTATAACTTTTTTAAATTTTAGACTAGAGGAGTTGGGAAGGGTAATGAATTGTATTAATTTTAAATAATAAGTTGGATAAAACTACGACAGAGATGTTAAAAAATTGTCATTATTGAATTGTTTAACATAACATAAATAATATCCGAATATTATCAGAACTTCAAAAAGCTTTGTAATGTCGAAACTAAGTCAGTTCGCTCAATTCTGACTTCGCCATTATATTAACTGTTTAACTATTGACTATTTTTCAGTCGGTGTTGATATACAATAATACAATTTGGCTGGAATGCATTACATTATAATAGTATACGCAAAATAATTTCAACCGTACTTTATTCGCATGGTTTACAATAAATGTAGGTACCCATACAATAAATACGATACAATGAGGTTTTTTTTTTTTGTATTTTTACAGCGTGCCTACGTTACACTGCCCCCTCACTATTTTCGGATTTTAAGTTTTCCCAATACCAATATCTTTGAGTCCGTCATATGTTGGGTATTTTTCAAAACTTTGATGGACCTCCTCCGACCGTCATAACCGAATAATGAGGGGGGGGGGGGCGTAGAAACGTTTCTTAAGCCTCCGGATTCAAAAAAAACAAAAATGAATTACCGAATAAATCGTTGGTGGTTAAAATCAAGAAAAGTTAAATCACGCGTATTTTGATAAAGAAAAAAAAAAGAAAGGTTTTAAAAAAAAAAAAATCATTCGTTGGAATAGTAGGTGTACACTCGTACACTTCGTAAAATATATTTGCCATGAACTCGAACGCATCGAGTTTCCGCCGTAACATTCCGCGCAAAACAGAAAACAAAACGCCCGGTGACGAGATCCCGTAAATATTGACGGCAACTCCCGTCATCTCCCGTCGGTCGAATCGGGTGTTTTTCAGCATTTTTTTGCAACACGTTATTATTATTCGACTATATTTAATTATTTATGTGTACATTTTTTTTTTTTTTACGGGGAAAAAACACGTTAACGGCGGAAACGGGCGGCCGTCGCCGAACGTATCGGAACGACGACGACGACGACGACGACGCGCGAAAATTGATGCGGCCCATTGCCCGGCACCGCGTGACGCGCCAACGTCGTAACCGCGGCCGGCCGTCTGCGGGACGTAGGCCCCACGGTCCGTACAAAATGGCGGCGTTTGAGAGTCGAAACGGTTTGCCGGCCTGAAACTATGCGCGGGCCGTCTCCGAAAGTATCGCCGACGGCGGCGTTATAGATGGCAACAGAACGGTTCCACGTGCAAACAGCGAAACCCATGAACGTACCCCGGAAACGGGGCAAAACTCGGCGGGATAAATTCGTAACGCGCGCGGCACAAGCTACAAAACGAAAGTACTCACCGCGTCCGTGGTTTTAAGCAGGTCCCGGCGATAGATACCCGTGGCGGCGTATTGACGTACAGGTACGGATCGCCAAATTACGACCTTCGTCTTAGTATTTTTCTTTTCTTTTTATTTTCTCCCGGCATCCGATAAACGGCGATAGCGTGCGAAGTACTCGCCGGCGGCGATTCGTCGTATACAGAAGAATGGGGGAATACCGGTCGGCGGGTAATACCGGTCGCTAACGTTTCTGCGGTACTATCGAGTTTGAAGTCATTATGCGATCATTTTTAAAAATTAAACTATGGCGTTATCAAAAAATTTAACACGGCGCGAATAATCGTGTGCGCTTTTTTCCCGGCCGAAAACATTTTTCACCGCGTTTCGCCGTTAGAAATCGAAAATCTCAACACCATCGTATTGCGAAATTTTCACGGGGGGGGGGGTTTAACTTTATTTTAATGCAATATAATCCAAAATACATAAAAAAAAAAAATAATATGTTCATTTGCTCAAGCTAGTAATATTATAACATTAATAAATATGCGTAAATATTTATATTATTTATGATATTTACACATGGGGTTTTTATGCGACCGGTATCACCTCGGGGTAAACAGATTTTAAAAAAATACAACCTAATGTCTTCTGAAACATTCTGAAACGTTGACGTAATATTTACAACGTGCGTTTGTATCGAAACTTGGGACACAACAATTCTTGCTTAGATGACCAGAATTCCCCCGTTCTCTCCCATTATTTTCTGTACGCTGCCGGTTTCGACGAACCGTAATCGCGACGGCACTAATAACGATCGCGGTTATGCCCATGAATAACGGGTCTGTGCGCAGGTACAACATCGTTGCGGACGCGTTCGCCGTCTAGAAGCAAAAAAAAAAAAAACAAAACGAACTCGGACAGCGGAACAGAAACGGTACCCAATTGATAATGTCGTTATTACGCGCACTGGAAAATATTCGTGAACCGGTTCGCGGCGGAACGACGAACGGACGGGAAATAAACGACCGCGGGGCGCGGACTCTGCGTAGGGCCCCGGACACAAAGCCCGACGGATTTCCGCGAACCATGCGAAACGAGCGCCAAAGAGGTTCGGTGCACGCGGGCCCGCTAACGGACTCGGTCGGGGTGAATAGGAAAACGACTCCGCCGACGCCGAAGAGTTGTTAGCAGTGTGACCAAACGCAACGTGTAAGTTTCCCAACGGGAGTCGGAGAAACGGCGGCGGCCGCGGCAATAACGCCGCCGCAACACGAAGCGTCTCCCGCGACCGGGTATGCTTGCGCGGAAGGACGCCGTCCGGGCGCAGCCCCGAGTCGCTCTCTTCTGGCGCCGCGTATAGTCCTACGCCCGTTTTGTCGCCGGTGTCAATTGTAGTGATATTGCACGTGTTTTGGCGACGCAGCGGCTTTTGGTGAACGGTTCGCTGTTGTTTACTGTACTCGATTACAACGCCGTCATGACGCATTCGGCGCATCCGAACAATTGGATGAATCGGATCGCAAATGCCAACGGTACCGGGCTTATAAGGGCATGCGGTATCGATGGATCCGAAAACCGCACACTCTTGGCAGGTAAAAACCGCTCACGTTTAGATTTAGTAGGTTAAAACCGCACGTTTTTTTAATAATGTATAATTTATTATTTATCAATAATTAATCTAGAAATTTATAAAATAAAACATCAAATATTATAATTGTATCTTAATTAGTGTTGTTAAATATTAATGTAAAATACAATCAATCGACTAAAAAACAATGATCAAAGTTTTAAGCAAAAAGCCGACGTTTTTTCAATGAATTAAACATATTTTAAAAAAAATGTTTACATAATTATTGGGAGGAATTGATAGCCGATGGTTTTTTAGAAATTTTAAACGATCTTCGTCCGTCGAAGAAGAATTGCTCGTTAACTAACTTATTTTTGTTTTTCAATTGCACGGAAGATATGTTCGTATAACAATATATTATAAAATATTATATTTTATAATTAGCGTACAGTTTTACCCTACTATAGATGTGTGGTATTTGACTACAAAATGTACCTATCTGTCGACCGATGAAGTGCGCGGTTTCTGTCTACCGACCTTTTTGGGATGCAACCATATAGTGTACTAGTTGGGTCCCGTGTTTATTAGGGTATTATATTAGTTGGGTCACGGGTTTATAAGGGAAACGTACTAATTGGATCCCGGATTCCCGCAAGTAACTGGTACTAGTCGACTATAGGGTAACAACATGGTATGGTATGCTTGTCGTTGGCTTAGAGAATATCCTTTTTTTTTAAAAAAAAAAAAAAGTTATTGTTGCTACCGGTGCAGAACAACAGCGAGATATTCAATATAGAGGGGCCGTAGGCAAACAAATACAAAACTATCGGTACAATAGTTTTTACTATCCTGTTGTTGATACCATTATCAGTCATTTAAATCAAGGTTTTCCGAAGAATCTCAAAAATCAACCAAAGCAACAGAAAGTTTTATAAGTCTTGACCGCACCAATGTTTTGTGTTTTATCAACTATTACAAGGTATGAAAATTATTTTGTAATTCGTTATAATTTTATAAATATATTAAACGATCTATATTTTAGATCTGTTTTCAATAAACAGGGATTGTTTGAAGTTGGATATTATGGTTGCTGAAACTGTACGATTCAACTTACTGAAATATTTAGGTGTTAGAAAAAAAATTAAAACAGGTAATCAGTAAAACTGTTTATACTAATTTATTTCAGTCACTTCAAGTTGACTTAGTTTTACCGATTTCATCGGTTTCGTGTGAAAGTAGTAATGTGAAGAGTAAAATCTTGGTTATGTACCATAATGGGTCAAGAGAGACCATCAGACTTATTAATTATCCACCTAATTGAAAGAAATTAATATGTTGGAAATAAGTGTACATTATCATTAAACTTTAACTAAATAAAATAAATTTGTTTCGCAAAAATTTTAAAATTGATTTATGTTTATTTTATTTTATTTATAGAGATGGTGTGATACTTGGAGTGTGTCAGTTCTTACACACTTGTTCTCTCCAAAATTTGTTCGGCGCTTAAGACCCCCCTAATATTTTTGGGTTATTTTCTCCTACGACTAAAGGGCACACTAATAAGCCTAATACATATAGTATTACATATTATTTTAGTACAATTTAATGAGCAAATTGAATTTGCTTGTTGCTGTATATGCTATCGACATAAAAAATCATATCTACTACTAAATGTTTTATTATTTTACCAATTTTGTATTTTCTAAGAGTAATAGTTTTCTTAATCATTATTCGTTTTTTAAAAAAATCTTACCTGTATTATAGGTACATATTATACATTATGATACAGTAAGTACATTATGTATGAAAGTTGTCAATTCGATTATTGTAGGTAGGTATTATTTTTCTTTTATCCGCCTCTCAGACAATTAGTGGCACCGTGCGTTTTTTATCATTATACACAAATCAGTATAAATCGATTTACCGATTAGATTTCACGTGTATTGTACGTTCAATAAATTTGGTAGATATTTCATAGTATAATTTATCACTAGGTAGTGCGGCCACTATCTTCGGGCGTTCGGCAAAAAAGACCTGCGGCACAGGAAAAAAGATCGTTAAGGAAAAGGCGTACGGAGACCGTATTTGTGACGGGACAGTGGCTTCCCATTATTTCGCCTCGGCCGAACGGGCGTTTATATTAAAAAAAATAATAATAAATAAATAAAAACAAAATATAAAATAATATTTGTAGATATCAAACGGCACCAGCACCGATGCAACGCTAGATACGATTTTTTTTTTTTTTTTTTTTTTTTTTTGTTTATGTAAACAGCATACGCAACACCAACAGTGTGCCGCTACATTTTTAATATTTTTTTCACATAACTGGGAAAACGCGTTCAAAATGTTGCGAGTACATTATAGAAAGAGCCCGGGTATGAAACCCACGGGCCTCGGGTTTCGTCAAGTTTAATGGCGATTTATTTGTCAAACAGAAAAAAAAAAAAAAAAAAAACCATAGTGATTTTATTTGCGCGCCGGTAAACGAAAATAAATTGAACGTCGCCGATTCCATTACAATTCGTGTACAAAACCGCCCGGCCCGTAATATTAACGATATTTACATTTGGAAAATCGTTTTCCAACGCGGAATCGGTTGCTCGCAGTGAAACTGATTAAGCGGTTTAAAACCGTATTGTACCGGTATTATGCGACCGCGGTGTTCGAGACGATCGTATTAAAAACGATGTACAAATAAACGGGGTTGTTTAACGGCGGTATAAATAAAATGTGGTATTGACGTAAAGAAAAAAAAAATAAATATATGTATATTATATACGAGTGTGTTTCGCGGAAAAACGACGACGGTATTATACGTTGTTTTTTTTTTGTTACTTGCGCTTATTTTCAACAGTAAGAACAAAAATATATGTATGCATGGGTATAATAAGCAGGTAGCCGCCCCGCGTAAAATAATATTTCGAAACGTATCGTCGTCATTGATTATTGCATTTTTTACAAATTCGTTGTTTTGTTTGTCCATCACCGAAATTCTATTCGAATACAAGATTTCGGAGAGTGAAAAATATACGATTTTTACTATAGGTACGTTACATTTTACATACAGGGTACCCAAGGGAGGCGCCCGGAGGTGAAAATTCAGCAGGGGAGTGGCAGCCTCACATTTTATTAATATTCAAACACTTTTACTAATGTATTATCGATATAAGTATCACTTAAGAAAAATTACATTTTTTAAATTTTGTAATAAATATTAATATGCAAGCACGGTTTTAACATTATTGTTTGTCAGTCTCGATACATTGACTATTAGGTTAGGCGAACTTAACAGAATAGGTTAGGAACACCTACGTATTAGGACGCGTTAATTTTCTCAAAACACGTACTCGTCGAATAGCTTAAATACTAAATTATCATTCAACGTTCATTGAATTCCGAGTTTTGTAGAAGCCGCACAATGGACCGGACAGACTAATCAAACGGGCGTGCGTTTACAGGACGCACCGACTCACCACGGCGCGCCCGCCGTATGCGTCACACGCGCGTTATCGGAGTTCTCGGAAGAACCGGGGACGGGCACTGGGGGCCGGCGACGACAACAACAACAACAACAACAACAATAACGGCACTACGATCGTCGGTCGGACCGACCGACCGACACCAGCAACCGCCCCGCGACACCCCGATCCCGTAATACGTGTAGGTGGGTGCATTAACGTAACGATATTGTTACACGTATACGGTTTTAACGTCGCGCGGCCGGCGCTCCGGACGGTCCGCGCGCGCGTTCGGGCGGTCTCGAAACGGTCGGCGACGGGGGGGCGGCGGGAGCCCCAGTCGGCTTCGGCGGCGGCGGCCGCACCGCAATATATCAGACGAGTGTGCGCGCGTATATATATATATATATATATATATATTTACGCGCGTGTATATATATATATATTTATGCGCGTGTATTATTATTATTATAATATAGTGAAAGCGGAAAAGCCGGACATAAATTCCGGACGGCGGCGACTTAATTTATACGCGGAACGGGGTGAAAATGTCGCGCGCGCACCTTAAACACGCGAGCCGCCTCCCGCCGCCGCCGCCGCCGTTTCGCGAAACCCTAATCATTTTCCCCGTCCGTCCCGATTCGCGTACCGCCGTTGCCTCCGCCGCCGTCGCCTTTACTTTCGGCGGACGAGAACGGCGGCGCGCAGTCTCCGGGGACGCCGACGCCGACGCCGATTCATCCCGAAACGCCGACTATACCGATTTCTATCTTTCGTCCGTCTCTCTCTCTCTCTCTCTCTCTCTCTCTCTGCCCCGAAAGCTGCGGGGCAGTAACCGTAATAATATATTATTATTATTATTATATATCGCAGTCGAGTACCGAACATTTTTCATTAAAAATTGCCACGAAAACGCGTAACTTTTAAGTGGCCCGTACACTTTTTTTTTTCGAACCCGTCGGGAACTATTGTAACTTAAAGTCAAAGATAATAATATATCGTTAGGTTTTCCGTTGATTTACACAGTCACGTATTTATATCCGTATACATGTACAGAAAACAAAAACAAGGTATTTTGCACGATTAACACGGAAACAATCAAACATCGCGACGTATTCTCATCGACTTTGTTGTCGTGAAACATTGTAATTTAACCGGACGATGTTTTTTGTAACCGAAACCGGTCGTAACTAATACGCATACACACACACACAACTAATTTATTTAGTAGTATGTTATTTTATTGGTATCAAACGGTCGGGATGAAGACGAAGGAGAAAATGAAGTCGAGGATTGTAAATGGTTTTTTTTTTTTTTTAATTTTATTTTACGAAAAACAGTTTTTCGGTTAGTAGGTAACAACATGGGTCCGATTTTGTCACGTGCTGTAGTGCCTTGAAAAAAAGGGGAATTTCGGCCGATGGTATTTTTTAATCGAAATATTTGTCGAAAATCTCTTATCATAAATTACAACATTATAATGTTTTGTTTATAATTCATTCTTTCGCTATAAATTCCGCTCAACTACAGTTACTACTACAACTAATAGTCTACAGTTCACTCTGTAGGTCCTTTTTTTTTTTTTTTGGTTTCTGATTTTCGTTGATTTCTACGTAAACTAATTATTGGTGATGAAAAAAAAAAAAACACGACTTACAGTCCAACATAATACTTCGTTGAAAACCGTTTGCGATTTATCGTAAAACACAATATGTACACCTGAGCTAAATTACCGTATACCATAATATATGATATACCTTCACAACTACCAACACATGGAAAAAAATAAAACATGCGTTGTAAATAGTCGATAGAAATTATACAAAATGTGTACATTGAAAATAAGCGCAGGTAAAGTGATCGATTCCGCAACAGAGTTAACCGATTGCGATTGATGTGTGTATAGTGCATAACTCAATTTATTTTAGGCGCTATAGTACAACCACCCAATATTATTATAAATTACTATTGCTATTGTCATTTTGAAGACAATATTTTTGTAGCGAATACTGGAAACTTTGAAATCATAAAAATAATGGCTGATGCTGGAAACGAGTGCGACCACTGTTGTATTTAGGTAGTTGGGAAGGTGAGACACATAAAGTTATTAAATTTATACCCGTAACCAACGGTAAACCATTACTAACGAAAAACGTTTATAAAGTTTTTATCATTCGGCACGTTATTTACATAGAATAATACAACTGTGGATAAACCGATCGAATAGTTTCCATTCAGTCGTGCTGTCCATTACTATAATATTGTCCTAACTACAAGTTGGTAACCAGTGGCGCCGAACCACGTTTTAAGAAGGTGGGCAGGTAAAAAGTTGTATAGACCACTACCCTAGTTTACAAAACAAACTCCCATACAACACTCTTAATATTCCGTACTTACCAATTCGATAAAAAATATGGCTCAGGTATCAATCATGGATCCACCACCATAGGTCCATTAAAAGAAGGTGGTGTCGGCGCCACTGATGGGAACTGATCGAGAATAGCACAAAACATTTTCGTCGTAAAAGTCCTGATTCCAAAATGACTCGGTATTTTATAAAACGGAAATCCAATGGAATTCGAAGTTTTTATTAAATGTGACAATTCCGTTGTATTTTTATCAGCACATTAGTAGGAGAATAATAATTATTATTTTTTTTTAATTCAGCATTATTTTAAACGACGCGTATCGTTTATTTAAATTGAAAATACCGTAAACACAAAATCGCATTTTCGGAGTTACGATAATTTTATTGGGAATTAGGTCGAAGATATGTGATCCACTGGTCAGTACAGCCTATCGATTTTAAACGGTTTCGATCGTACTGCACGATATTATCATTTTTATTTTGGTCGTTTTTCATGTTTCGGGCTGTTATAACTTTATTTACACTGGACATTTTTACCGAAAGATAGTTCTAGGTTATTTTTTCGAATTTTTTCACTCCGTTTTAGGACTTTCACCTGCTTATTTCTTAATAAAAACGACACTTTTCTATGTACCGATTTTACGATCTTAATCTATACTTACATTATAGTTGGTGTCTATAAGTTAATTTCGGAGAGGTTCTTTTACGTTTTAACAAAGTTGCGCCCCTTGTTTTTTTATGCTTTTTATTCTTTCGAAACATTGTTTGAAAACCTTTTTCCGACGACCGATCAATAACAGAATTAAGTTTATTTTTTATACATCTACCTATTATAATTAAGGGATAACCTAAATCCAGCTTTCAACCATTCAGAATTATCATTTCGCAGAAAATTTAGGTGCCAATTTATTTTATATTACAATCTAAAATAATTGAAAACCCAACTCGAATGTTTTTATTTATTTGATAACCGCTTAAAATGTGATAAACGTTCCATTAACATCGAATAACACAACTCGGAATCGTTTTCCGGAATTCATTTTATTTTATATCACTATATTATTCAAATTCACATTACTGAACTTCGCAGAAAGGCAATTTTACGTGTGCTCAACATTCTATATATTTATTATCGTACATCTTCGTGTCTGTTGCTTGATAAATCTCCTTGTCCGACTTTTCAAAAAAACATACGGTGACTTTCATATTACGATTTTCGCAAAATACCCTATCCCAAATTACGTTGCACAAATTATAATGAAAAATTATTGTCCGACATTAATTTATCGTGAAACGTGAAATTAATAATTGTGACGTGCATTACAAAAACAATAGGGGAAATTATAGGCGCGAGTAATTAATTTCTTATTCGTGTGTTTAGATTACCGCCTACTATACATCTCCGGCTTAAATTGTAAAATTAGTGGCGTTATGCTTTTGAAGAGTATACAAACGTGGAATCCGGGGTTTTACGGATATCCGAACCGTATGAATCTGGAAAAAGTATAAAATGTGATGAATTATTATACACGCCAAGTGATCCATTCGAGTGTGTACATTCATTATATCGGAAAGTAATGAACTATTCCGGAATTCGTTTTCCAGAACATTTAAGAAACAAGCTGTTCTATACAATTGTATGGTTATGTTATTTTTTTTTGTCAACCTTATTTTCGGGGGTAAAACCGCCAATGTTGAAACTTTTGATTTCTGTCAAGCCATTGACGAGATATTTCACTTTTAAATTCGGGTTGGAAGAGAGTAGTGGTATACGTATTGTTAACACGCCGCGCGCTACACGACATGTCACTCCACTACTTTCCCGCAACACAAACTTACAAGTGGAATATCTCGTCAACGGATCGACGGAAATCAAAAATGTCAACACTAAAATTTATTTTAACCGATTCTCCGTCTACGGGCGGGATTTTTAATATAGATTGCCGTTTGAAAATCAAAAACATTGGTTTTAACCGTGAAAAAATATGGGTGACCGAAAAGTAACATATTAATATATGAAATTGTAGGGCGGCTGGTTTCTTGAGTTTTCTAGAAAACAAATTCCGGCAAAAGCCAACGCTTTCCGAGACCCACGAGTGTACCCACTGAAATGGATCACCCGACCCGTACGTTTCCGGGCCTGCGCGTTTCGGATTTCCCGCGCCCGTAAAATCCCGGATATTGTATAATGTGCAATTTCCACACGTGTACGTTCCAGACGCGTGCGCGCGTCCCGCGTTGTCGTGTCGCTTTTTATTGTGAACGTGACGCGGAGTCGCATAATAACAATAATAATAATATCGCATGCGTGTGCACGTCTGTTACCGTCGCGACGCCGCGTAGCACATAATATCGCGTATAAAATCGTAATGTAACGCGCCATCATACTTACGGGGCGAGTACGAAAATATTACATTGTAGCGTAACATCTTTCCGGTCAGTTTCGGGCCTCGCGGAAAACGGGTCGACACCCGCGCGCTACGCGACGACGTCCGAGGCCGCGTCTCGACATTTTATACTTGTACGTGCATATACATATATATATATATATATATATATATATACCTACGTTATCAGAGTGCGCGCGTACCCTCGTCCCCCGTGTCGTAAATACCCGGCCGTTCCGGGCAAAAGACATTTCCGAGGCTCATTAACTCTGCCGCGGAACGTCGCCGTTTTGCCCGCAACCTTCTAAACATAATGACGCGCGTTTTCCGCCCGTCGAAATGTACGTCGTCAGCGTCGTCGTCGTCGTCGTACAAAGAGTTTTGCAGTTTACTTTACGCGCACACATACGCGCGCGCAAACACTCTTTGTCTTTGTCTCGGCGGCGTCGCCGTCAACTATAATAACCGTATAAATATACTATGGCCGCATGCACAAACTTTGAGCTCTTTAAAATTAGTATATGGTGCCGAGGTACCGATCGAATAATAATAATAATAATAAAAAAAAAAAAAAAAATGTAAAAACAATAATTATAACGTGAAATTATAATAGGTGTCTATTGCAGTGGGCGTAATCGGGATTTTTTTATTGGGGAGGGTGGAGCGCCGCTAAATTCGGTTGGATTGCTTGAATCGTGAGTGTGTAAGGAGTATAATCAGTGTATAATGAGTGAAACCCGCAGTAAATCTGTCTGATCGGATCGGATCGACCCACCCCTCCAGAAAAAAAAAAATTAATTTTGACAAGTTAGATTAAATTACCTATAAGGCTATAGCAACGGCTGCACCCGTCCCCATTATCATAGGTCAGATTTAGAAATTTTAATTTGATCGATTTAAAATTTAATTACGATTTATTGTAATATTGTAATATTATAATATTTATAATATGTATATTGTATACAGTTTAATGGTTTCATTTTATTTTTAACACTTCGAAAATCAATTATTTTATATACCTTTAGCCTTTTTTTCGTGGCAACACTGTACATTTTGTGTGGTGTGATATTTCATAGTATACATGTCTGAAATCTACAATCTTTAGGCGTTTCTGCGATTTTCGCATAATAATTAAGAAGCTAATATTAATAATAAGGTATAGAAGCTATAATTCACTATTCACTCCGAAATTGTAACTTTCTCCATTCCTTAAAAATATCCACGAGCAGACAAACCAAACCATCCCCTTAACTCTTGGATTATCCTCAGTTAACCCTCCCCTTCCCGGTGAGAGTATATTATCTGTATGAAATATAATATTTTGTACAGGAAATATAATAACATTATAATAAGACCTGTCAGAAGCGACGTCCCTAAGTTTAAACATCGCGCGTCCTAACCTCGTCCTAAAACCTCATCCTGAATTCTCAACCACGATGCTCTGATTATGAACGTGCATTTGGTGTGTGTATATATACTAGCACGTACATGTATAGTAGAAGTCTTGTAATTTGAACACACGTTCTTCGCCTACCACGAACCGTCACCACTTGTATTTTATAATCCGATCAACACAGGTTTTATCGCCCACCAAAGTTTCCTCTTTAAAATCCGTTAATTATTTTCTCGCCAATATAATAAATCGTTAAGCTGCACGTTTTCGCTGTCCGTTCGAATGAAAGTCGACCCGAGCTATGCGTTTAACATTTAACGTTTATAACTTTTCCTCATAAGAGTAAATAACATAAAATAACACCTATAAAAATTAATCATTTGTGATTTATCGAACTTTAAATCGATCCGTATGTTTATCAGTTTATCAGGCACAATTTCATTTATGTAAATCGATTTTCGAAAACCAAAATAAACCACCAGTTTAACGATCAGTTTAAAATATTTAATTTAATTACAGAAATTGTTTTTTTAAAAATAAATAAAATTGAAAAATTGGGAATAGGTATCGACATTAATATAATATTAAACCGACCATATAAATAAGTACAGAAATGTTTTTACTACGATTATAAATACTATGATGGCCCAATAATCTAAGATAGATGTCTACCAAAGTGACTATCGTAAATTAGCTGGATTCTAGGCTTCTAGCGCTCGTATGACGGTGTGAGAGAATGTCAAGTTTAGAAATCCCACACATTTTGATGTGACGCGTCAGATTCATAATATTTTATTAGTTTAAGACCAAAAATGTGACATTGCTTGAATCGATATTCTCTCACGTTTCACACTGTCACATGAGCGCTAGCAGTCTAAAATTCAGGTGATTCACGGGAGCCACTTCGGTAAACACTTTAACCTAGGACCCAGGTCACTGGGCAACCAAATTACCGATGATTTTTTACATACATTCGATTAGTATAACGTGTATAACCAATAATAACTGTAATTAGGATACAGGGCAGGTTACTATAATTCATATTTTTTACAGGCATGAATATACATACCGCTTATAAGAAGTGATGTGCCATGGATAAGTATCCGATAGGTAAGTAAATATTTTGGGTATTTACCCGTAGGTATACTTACCTACCTAAACTATGTGTAAATAATACTTATTTTTTAATCTGATCAAACTGTTTATTTCTACTATATAAATATTATTTACTTATTTTTATTTTTTATTTTGTTATAATAATATTTTTGATTTACGACCAAATTTTTATCGTAAATTGAATATTATACTATTCATAATTTTATTGCACATGTGGTGTAAAGAAAACAATTTTTTTTTTGGGACGACAAATCTCTAATCAATAAAATTAAAAGATATCTACTTGTATGTTTAATTTTTGCGATTATTTTTATATTTTAATATCCATTTTTAAAAATATTTTGTATGAAAAATAACTTTTTAATAAAAAAAATAAAGAAGACTGATTGTAATAAGTTAGTTTTATAGGTAATATTTGTATTTAAATTTTAAGTTATTTTTTTAAAAAAAATGTATGTTTATTTTTTATTTATATAAATAAAAGTCTAGTTACTGCTTTCATGTTACTACATTTTCCTCTTAAAAAACGGTATTGAATTCAAAATGAATGAAATTTGACAAAAACATTGTAAATATTATTTATTTTCTATGATAATCTAACCTGGACAAATTGTTGCTTACATTAAACCAACATTATTACTACTAAATAAAACCTACGATGAGCCTCGTATTAAATTTTCGGCCCGTAAAAAGCCGAAGAAGAATATATACAATACGAGTATAACATCAGAGCCCCAATTTTACAAATTAAGCGTTTTATTTTCAATGTCCTGATTGTCTAATTCGAATAAGTGAATAATCAAAAATCATTTGAAATTAATAATGAACGCACGCGCCTACCAATATACTTAAAAAAATGAATTTTTATTATTAATCACATCGCGTGCAATATCTTTCTTTTGTTCCGAACAAACACGCGTATAACTCATATACTACATAATACCTACGTCAACACGGCATTATGAAAAACGACGTTTTCCGACCTGTGTTTTCTGATTTATGTGAACCATCAATCAAATCATCGGAATAGTCGTATAAATTCATTGAGTGGTAATATTTGAGTATACCTATCCGGTATAAGCCCAACGTTTAAAATATTAGAAAAAATGTAAAAACAATCGTATGCCTTGAGACAATGCATTCCAATAAGGACATAATTCATAGCCATTAATTACTTTATAAGTGAAAATGTTCTTTTGAATTTGTCACTTTTTAAATTATTTTTTTCTTATAATCATTTTATAATAGCATCATTCGGTCAAGTAGTATTTTTGGTTATTTTATAAAAGTATTTTTCGATAATTTTCAAGACATTTTTAAAATCAGGATCCAAATACTAATTAATGATAATAACGATCTATGGTAATAACGATACGGTTTGATTGTGATAAATATACAAAATATTTTCTCCGTCCGATGATCGATAACATACAATTATTATAACGTACTGTAATATTGAAAAGCTCTTAAGAACTATAGGTATAAATTGAGTCATTCTAATAAATTGGTTACTAATAGTATCAACGTTTTGAAACATTAATCATAATTACCACGTACCGGGCACTTGTTAGCGTGGGATCGTCGTACAAGAAAAGGCTTTTTTTTTCTCTCCAAACACGTTTTTTTTTTTCGTTCGTCTCTTTCAAATGAATAATTGAATATCGTATAAAGATTATTAATAATTTAAACACCAAAAGCCAATGTCCGCCTTCGGTACAACTATGAACGTATACTATCTTCAAAGTATATGTACCTACTCAAATTGCATTTTACGGTATTAACCATTATAAACCACTATTTTTGTTTGTATTATAGCTATAATAGGCGCATTTGCTCGCACGTGATCGACGAACCGAAAACGCTGACGGCAACGTCATATTATAATAGTGTAGAGAGAAAATATTACCAATCCAAGTGCATCGATTCACTCTGAAAAGTGTACCTATTGCGTGTTTGGCGTTTGACTTTGATCGGCCAACACTGCAGGTAGATGTGAATCCTAATCTATATTAGTATGTATACAGTCCTGCGGAATAAGACTAAATGTGGTATTCGATAACGGATAAATGACATTTACCCACTCTCTCCTTCTTAGGCGTAATTTAGGGGGACTTGGGGGGCTTAGCCCCTCCAAAAATTTGTATTTAAATTTAAGTATTAAATGCTTCATTAATTATCTAATCTACATAATATGTTAAACGTTGTTTGAAAAAAAATAGTTTCTAAAATTTAAACATGGAAATAATGGAAACGAGCCCGTGCAACGACATAGTGTTAGTCATAGAAAATATATACAATATAAAATATATGTACGGTGTTAGCAAGGTTTATAGATTATTATTATCTATAAACCTTGGGTGTTGGTCCTTTGTGGGTATTACCCATATTACAAAAACGTTTACACCCATGAGTGGCGGGGTACACTGCGGGTCGGCTTGTTTTTCATTTCTATTTTACGTATGCCCGTATGCGATATGCAATATGCGTATGAAAATTGGTGAGATAACTATGATTTTGGTATTTGAACGGGGGGTATGGGGGGCAGATGTGGATCTGTTTCATTTAAAAATATTGAGCCCCTCCAAGTTAAAAACTGAAATTGCGCCTATGCTCTCCTTTGAATTACTCCAGGATCGCTGTCTGTGACTCTAGACTGGCGTGTTCGGTGTTTTAATTCATTCAATTCTACCTACACACATAATAATTATATAAATTATAATATGAACCGTGGGTAATTCCAGGTAAATTCAGGTCATTTTAGGTCAATTATACGAGAGAGAGGGGGGGAGGCAAAATATGAAAATATTTGATAAGACGATTATTTTTTTCTTCGAAATTAGATACTTATTAAATATTTTGTGATAAGGGATTTTTACTGAGTGTTGGAATATTTTTTCCAAGCATAATTTCATAGTTCACCAACGCATTTAAACATTTAGTCAACATGTTCAACTATAGATAATGACAGCATTTTATAAACATGCATTTTGCCATATTACCACCATCATTTTTTTTTTCAACAATACTGTGAAAGTGACGCTTTTGCATGCCACCATATCTCTTCAACATTGTTTGTATGTGACCCAGTTTCAGAGTTAAGGAATTGATTGTTTTATCTTAATCCTATATAAGAGTAGTTATTACCTGTTGAAAAATCAGGAATTCCGGAATGGTAGTAGGTATACATCACCACTAGGCTATGACAACCAATGTCAGAAAATTGCAATATTGAGTTAGTATTTAATAAAACGCACATAATATCTATAAAAACAACACATTTCAAATGACCTTAAAACTTTAACTTCAAAACTAATAATTAGTCCCAATTTTTATTTGGGCTATCATTTTTAAAAAGTTAATTTACCTAGGTTTTAACATAAACAATTGTTTGGTATCTAAACTGAAATTGTTCCCATGTAATACAATAAGATTATCAGTAAGCAGTATTTTGTTAAAATATATACCAAGGGTAATTGCATAGTTTCTCATATTTCACTCCAACTAGTCCAAACAGTAATAATGGGTAATAATATCAGGCTTGATTAAAATGTATATAGTAGGTAATTTAAAATGTTAAATTGGTAAGTATTTTATTGGATCATAAGGGTAACGATGAAGATAATGTATTGTTTTTACAAATGAATTCCAATTCAAAATTTAATTTATTAATGAATGAATAATATACATAATATGTATATTATTTTTTTATAATTTTTATGAGACTTTGTTTTGTAAGTGTTTTAGTATCAGGATCACACTGTAGATATATTAAGAGAATAAAAATGTATAGCTGTTATTCTCAACAGTATTGTAAATAATTCACTGTGATAATAGTGTATTCAATTTTATACCACATTATTACATAAAGTGGTTAAACACTATGTATATTTTTATACTAACAAAGAACTAAATAAGATATTTCATATATAATGCAGAGGTTTCCAACCTTTTTTGACTCACGGCACCTTCAGTTATTTTCAAAACCTGGAAGCACTCTACACTGAATATTCAATAGCAATATATCGTGTATTTATATTTATATTTTGTAACTTCGGTTTTATTTAGCTAAGTGTCTAAGTATAAACAAAAGTAGTAGATATATTATACACACATTATATTTTATAAAACAAATTATTACATTGAACTATATATTTTTATATTTAATTATTAATTATATAATATTATTTGATTATTAAGATTAATTAAAAATTAGGTAACTTATCGAACTAATGTGACACTTGACCTTGTTTTATTTTTTTTACACACAATTTTTTATTTGTATAAATACATGAGTTAATACTGCTTGATCGACTATTTAATGCAAATGTGTAATAGGTATATTATGTTTAATAGCACCTTGAAGATTATATATTGATACTATTTCAATGCCATTTTGTGATCTAAAATCATAATAGACAGATACTGATATAAATATATTTATATATAATTAAAGAATGTGTCAACAACATACACTGTGATTTTACAACATCATAACGTATCTAAATTATATGTATTAATGTATTACAATTATTGGTATTGATAATAAGGTAGGTATAGGAAAAATCAAACATTGTACTAACGTTTTAATTTCCAGACAGTTGTATTAAACAATTGTTTTTTTTTCTCATAATAAAAGGTCCATATAGATATTACACTTTATAATGATAAATAATTCAATTTGAAAATGTCTGTTCCAACGTGGGAAGTACGTAAAACTGAGTATTAAATATAAAAAAAAAATAATAATAATATTAACAGAAAATGTTAACACTGTTATAATTTATATTATTGTTTGACAAAGAATCAGAAATAATAAATATTTTAAAGTAATAATAAACATAATCAACAGATATTGATTATTTATACCACTCAGATTTCACGGGGCCATTGACAACGGTAACTAATCAATTATTTTTAATTTAATGTACATGAACAATAGAGATGGGTGGTAAATAAAAATTGCATGGGTTAAAATCTTGTGAAATACAATTCGAGAGAACATGAGATAAAAAAATATACACAGGTCTCATTTATATAAATATATTCAAATTATGATACTTGTCATTTTTATACATAAATACATAATAATATAATAGGTATGTATATATATACAGAGTGTTCGGCGATGATCTGCCACTTGAATAACTTTTGTTGTTTCGATATATATCAGAAATTTAAACTTTAAAGTTTAATCAAACTACTACGGCTAGCTACTTATTTGGCTATTTAATTATTCAATTGTA